TACTCGTGATTGGCGGAGGTCTTGATGTGGGCGGAGATGGCCGTACTCGTGATTGGCGGAGGTCTTGATGTGGGCGGAGACAGCTCAGTCAAAACATCCCTAACCAGCCCGTAAAAAGATCACTAAAAATCAATATAAATATTAGTCATAATTTGAGACGGGAAGAAGCTTGCCGCATAAATTTTTAAGTCAATTTATGCTTACATTTTCACAGTAATTTTTATTTGAGCCATTTTTCTGTTTTAAACCGTAACTAGACAGTCAATAAATCATATTTTTTTACTATTATTACTTCCTCTTTTAAGTTGCCCCACAAGACAAGTTAATCCGGCCAATCACATTTAGGGAAAACTCCACCCACACACCAAATTCGCCAATCACGATTAGGGTCAACTCCGCCCACATCAAGACCTCCGCCAACCACGAGTAGGGCCGTCTCTGCCCACAACACAACATGTACTGCAGAGAACCCTACCTGCTAAACTTTGGCTCCAACGTAAAAGAAACCAACACTAAGTCATCCGTTTGGACTTTTCCAGGTATAAAAACACAGGAAGAGTTTGGCTGACCTGGACACCAACAAAGCCAGCCGTTGGTCTGCAGGTAAAACTACAAATACTAAATAATCTGTTTGTACTGTGCATATATTGAAGAATACTCCAGTAGTTTTAGACCTTGTTTCGGTTATTTGATAAAATATACCAACTCTGAAACACACGTTCCAACGGTGTAAAAATAAAAAAGGGGGCATGTCTGAGCTAACTTTGATTATCACTCTTTAAGTGACACTAACACCAGCTGGGAAATGAAAACAACCCTTCTTCTGTCGGTGTGCTTTTAGAAAAACAACCCCCAGCAATGGGTGAAAACTACTAAAACCCTTTTTTTCCTTAAAGATTTAAAAATAGCAGCTATGAATTAATCAATACTGAGATAATTAGCAGTTATTGCCCCCTCGCTATTCAGCGATCTCATTAGAAATGAAAAGAAATCACAGTAATCTCATTAGAAAAGAGCTATAAACAGGGCTCCATCAATATTCAATATCAGCTGCAATTTTAAAGACGATCGGGGGAAACAAGAGCCAAGTGGCTCACAGCTAAAGTTTGTGTGTTTCAGTGCCCCTGATCTAGTTTCAAGAATGAGTCCAACACACCTCCTCCCTGCACACAAACAGAGTTACACACATTTTCTGCACCGGGGTAAAAAACTCTGCTTTTCTGCTTCATGTGCTGGAAGGTGTTCCAATGCAACGATGGGAAAAAACTACAAAACACTGCAGATGAATAAAGGTCTTTAAGTGTCTGAATGTGGAATAAAGTTTGTTATTGAGACACACATTCAACCAGAAGCTCTTCATCTCTCTACCAATTAAAATTACTGCGAGCCATGTTACAAATAAAGTCCGGTGGGATTCGCTCCAGCCCCTGCTGAGACCCTGGAACGGACAAAACTGGCCTGAATGGACGAGATACACAAAATAAAAACTGAAACTCGCTCAACAATTAGCTTATTATTGAGTTTTATTTTAGATGTGTTGTCAATTTTTGACAAATAAATCTCTTGTGCTCAAGTTTCTGCAGCTATTGTACAATTAACCAGAATAATATTGTTGTAAACCAGTAGAAAGGAAGAGAAAGCTCAAAGCACAGAGGACACGAACTGAGGAATTTAAACAAACTCAACTGCATTTAACACATAAAGATTTTTTAAGCTCTGAAAATATATTTTCTGCTGCTGTAACACTTATCCTGATACAAACGTCATTTTAGTAACAACATAGATTTTAGAAAATTCCTTTAAAGCAACAGTTTCTTAAAAACCGTCTTTAAATTCATGTTTCTATTCAGTGCAAACGTTGTCTTTTATTTCTATTTTAAGTTTAAAGTCCAAAGTTTTCTGTCCTTCAGATTTTATTGATGTTTCGTCAAAAGAAAATCAATAAAGTCACAATTCAAGGACTCACACATTTCTAAAGTTAACGTGATAAATGTAACACGAATCACACTAATCTTTGAGGTTTTTGTGCTGGATTATTGTTCCAGTTTAAGAGTCATTCATCGGCAGAGAAATGACTTATTATGTCCACTGTCTATAAAGTGCATGGTCACTGTCCAAACTGACACTCATCTCTGGCATGAATGTCATGGTAATTTACTGATTTTTATTTTTTATTTGAACCATTCATTTTACAAGCTGAAGTTAATATACAAGTTAAACTTCAATGGTTTATCTAAGAAAAGAAAATCCACAAAAATGTAGAAAAATTTAAGCTTTTATTTACAGAACGTGTGAAGGTTTGGCTGTTTCCATTAAAAAAGGTAATTATTGTCAAAACGTTACAGGGTTACATGAATAAAAAACTGCAGCGGAGATGCAACATGTTTTTCTTTTAAAACTGATTAAAGCAGGGCTTTTCAACTGGTGGCCTGCAGGCCAAATCTGGCCCGCGAGTGAACAAAGTTCGGCCCGCCAATTGGTTCATTCATCTCTTCAGCCATACCCCTGGTTTTCTACTTTAATTCCTCTAAGTTATTTTAGTTAAACATAGACATGTTTCGTATCTACAGAAACGTCAGAATCTTGGCTACAAGCTGGTAAAAATAATTTCTACGCACACTCTGGACAGTTAAAATTACAAGCAGTTGAATATTAAACTATGAAAGT